ACCGTAAACTAAAGAAAAGTCAGTCTAAACAAATGCCGCATTTAGGAGCAAATGTATTTTTGCCTCACTTAAAATGCCTCAAGATACAAGTGTCATTATTCGGGAGCATTCGTCATGCCTCACAGCAACGTCTCCATTCAGACAACCTGATGATGACCTACTTAGACCATGGAAGGTGGGTTCTATTGCCCCACCTGCCAAAAGAGGATGGCACCTGCTTTTTCTACCTTTCAGAGGAATATCTTAACTACTTTAATAGTGGATCCAGCACGGGCAATCTCATACCTGCCTATTGATACTGATTCACTCTGTATTCCTAATTAGCCACCAGATCATGATTGGCCACTTAAGGACCCCTTCTCTGGACGATAACAACTTACGTTGTTCTCCAGCTCATGCACTAGAATATCTCCATCCTTGAAGCTATTCAAACCTTGGCTGGACCCTGAGCAACCTGATTATGTTGCCTGTATTAAGATCTTCGCTCCCTGCCAGCACTGAGCCATGGTGGCTCTAGGTTGGCAGATTTGGCTCTCAATCAACTCCTGTGGCACTCTGGTACCTGATGCAAGCATCCACACCGAGATGTTCCTTGTGGTGCTGGTGGGGAGAAGCTGTGGGGATCACACCAGTAAACATGATGAGCACGTATACACAAAGCGCCATTGGAGAAGAGCAGAGGATGGAAGGCCACCACCGATGGTGTTGAGGAGTCACCTCACAGTGCGTTCCCACACCACATCTCCATGTCCTCACTGGCAGTGGATCATGTCCGACTCCAGCTGTGCTGAGGCTGAGGTGGCTGTGGGATGACAACCCCTGACACAGCAGGGGACCATCTCAAACTGCCACTCCACCTTGATAAACCAACAGATACCAAAACCCCAAGGCATTTTTTTTGGTATAACCTATCTCATTCAGGAAGCCTCTCAGCCTGAAACGCCAAACACACCTTACCCGCTATCTTCCCATCCTTCACGGATGCAGACAGGCCACAGACCAGCTCAGCTTTGATGCCGTGAGAATTGCAAAAAGCTCCGTCGAGTTGATTCGACCCTATCTACAAGAGGCAAAACTAGTTTTGTTAAATAGTCTAGCCTTAACCCGGCCTTGCTTATTTTATCAGCAGCTGTTTGCTAAATCTTTTGTACTTACAAGAACAAAACCCTCAGCTATGCAGCACTTCAAGGATCAGACTTGAGCCTTGATCCTGAACTTTTCATCATGAATGTTTTTAGAACAATACTTACTTTCTGCTTCAGATTTAAGCATGCATGTTCCTCCTTCCACTTTTCTTTTTAAAAAGAAAAGAACAGGGAAGGGGGATTTGTGGTTTAGGGTTTGGGGGTTTTTTTGTTGTTGTTGAGAACAAACAAAAGCAGATTATCATTCCCATTCAGAAAAGAAAGTATTTTCATTTTGAATTCCATTTGCCTCTTCAAAAGACCCTTTTCTTTTTATTAAAAAACACCTTTTGGTATTTTCTAATCAGAGTGAAAAAAATTGATAGCTTATACATAAGAAAGTGCTGATTAACAAAGTTATTCTCCTCTGTTTTTTTGGCTTGTCCGAGATGAAATGACTTTTCCCACGTTATTTATTTGATTACAACACATTGGCCCTCACATCTACCAACTAAGCCTCTTTCCTTGAATATCCACAGGAAGAGAAGGCGACACTTGAGACAGTTAAGTGTCATTTCATATTTCAGAGTACTTTCAGTAGCAACAGCTCCATCTGCGAAGTCTGCATCCCCAAGGACACACGAGAGATTTCCAAGTCAGAAATGCCCCAATACCCGGCTGCTGGGCAAAAACCTGCTGACCCCGAGCAGTCACCTTCATCCCAGGGCTCTGCTGTGCACCCCGGGGCTGGACCTTGCCCACGGCCCCTGGCACTGCCAGGTGCTCAGCTCTCGGCGTAACTCGTATTTCTCTGCAAAGCAACACTGCAAAGGTGAAGGAGCCTCCTCAAAGGGAAGGGTGTGCACAGAGCTCACCTTGCACACGCAGGCTCTGCTAGTTTCTTTTCTCCTTAATTCAGCATGAAACCAGTTTTGGATTTACAGCATCAAAATCTGCTTTTTTTTACTCACAGAACAGCAGCAGCTCAATTAACCGCTGCAGGTCTCCATGTCATGCCCTCTGGGACCAAGCTCATGAACATAATGACTATTTGAGCCTTTCCCTGCTCTCAGGACAGCTGCTCTGCCAAGGACTCAGGTGCTCCCTGCCCTCCTCATGGAGATACGGAACCTCCTCCTGTGCCTCCCACCTGCTCAGGAATTACTCGACTCAAATGCTGTATTTGTACTCGAAATAAATCAACATTTAATATTTTACAATTACCTTAAAAGTTCTTTGAACAGTATTTTACAGATCAGCACAGACATTACAGAGATTTGGTGAGGCTGCACATATGTACAAGGATGACCTGAAAGAACCTCAGCCTTCTTTCATTTCCAGAAAGTATCAGAGGTCAAAACCTTAGCTAGGATTACAAGTCCCTCGAGTTTGTGTTTGTTTTTCTCCACGAGATGGAAATTCTCTTCTCTAGTATTTCTGTAAGGCCAGCTGAAGCCAAAGAGGTTTATATCATTAACAGCGGCAGGGATATATTTAGCCACGGATATCAAGATCACAAATAGGAATGTTTTGACAGGATAAGGTGCTATTTTAAAGTATTGAACAAAAAACCCAGCTGTCAAATTTCAGCCCCTTACAAGAAGATGCACACAAACCTGTTTGGGAAATGAAAAGTCAGTGAGAAAACTTTTTCCAAGTGCGTGGAAAGAGCTATTAAAATCTGTTTCTGGTCCCTGGAGCTTATTGGACTTAAAATACTGATGTGCAGAAGTGCACAGCAGCGACCTCAGCAGATGTTGGCACATCGCCCTGCAGGCACCCTGTGAGGGACAGGACAGCCCACCATGACCCAGCAGTGTCTTGGTGTCCTTGTTGAGTCTGTGCTGCAAGCAAGGGAACAACACTGCTCCACGCACATCAGAAAAGCTGGGTGCTCCTCCTGGGTGGCCAGGGAAGGTGGGTCCTTGCTGGGAGTCCAAGCCAGCTTTGCATCATGGTGGAGCCAGAGCACCTGCTAACATTCAAGTGATGCTTTGCCCTGCATGAGGGTCTTGTCTTGGAGTACACAAGACAACACCATCCTTGGGATGGTTTATTCAAGTAAAAGGATGAAGCACAGAGGTCTCAGGAGTGTGTTCATGTCTTGGTTTTGCTCATCTCCGGCCACTGGCAGAAGCTGCATCCAGAGCTGCTGAGGACACCAAAGAGCCAGCTGGTACCTTCTTAACCTGAGATGTTCATCACTGGGCACAGACCAAGCTGTGCCCACACAACAGGGGCAGTGGGGCCAGGATCAGAGTTGCCAGCACAGGAGAGATCTCCCAAACACTTCCAGAAGGGATGTGGAGAAATCCAGCAGATAAACCTGACCCACACTCCTTCAAGACAACCAAAGCCCCTGACGGGCTCTGGCCCTTCTCCTGGCAGATTTAACCTCAAATGACACTGCTGCTGTGCCACCAGCCCTTGGGGACAAAACGCAACCTTGTTCTACCTAGTGCTAAGAGCTGATCAGGTCCTGTTTTCTGGAGGATTAAGGGACCCACACTGAGCCCTGCAGCCCCCCAGCAGCACTGGAGGTCCCTTCCAGACGTTTCCAGGGAGCACATGTCCTCGGCAGTAAGATCCTTTTAGCCTGCAGCAGGCAGCATGCTCTTCTGCCTGCTATCATTAGTGCAATCACCAAGAACTACTGAGAAACAGCTTGAGGGCTATGAAACCAGGCAAGGCTTTTCCAGTCTCATTTTTTTACTCATGGGGTCAGAACACCTCTAAATACCCCCAAATATTGCACCTTTCTGTACCTACAGCCTTGAAGAGAGAAGGAAGAGGGCAGAAAGCCTCTTTGCAGGGGAGAGGGGGGATCTCAAATCCTATTGTCGCTTGCAAGTGTCACTAGTGTTTTTGGTGCTGGGTCCTTCTCTAGTAAAGCTGCCTCTTCAGGTGAGCTTAAGGCAATACTAGTGGTTTCCCTCATACTTCTCTCCCTTCTATGAGTGTGAGCATGGGTCCTGCCATATTTCAAGCAAATACTGAGGATTCAGCCTCTGGGATGTCTCTAGTGTACAGTGCTGGGGAGCAGGACGCAAGAACATGAGCTGCTCAGGGAGTACATCTCATGGGTGAACTCTGAAATTCTGCAGAAGTTTGAAGTTCATCTCCCACAGGTCCTGGATTTACAGTAAATACATGTATACATGACAAGCTGCCCATGCCCTGGTATGGCCTATTGCACTCAATTCACTGGAACACAAGCAGCAGTCTACAACCCATGCTGGGGTCTTTCTGGGCCTCAGCTGGGTTGCTCTGCTCTGCACTATTTCTCTGCAAGACCTTCATAATTTAAAGGAAACCTTGAGAAAGCATGTCATCATCCCCAAAGAACTGTCCTGAGCATCCTCAACCTGTTACAGGTGAAATGCCATCAGGGCATCAGTTGGGTGGTCTGCAACTCTGCACGCATTGAAGGCCACCTACCACCACTCAGCCAAGGACATTCATTTTCCAAAATGTCTCCCCAGCAGCTGCCCCTAGATCACACTGGCCTTGCAGTCACTGTCAAATACAGCCAACAGCACCATTTGCTGGCAGGAAAATATCACTGTCCTTGCCTTGCCCTCTCAATTCAGGTGTTGGCAGTGTGCTGAACCAGGTGGACATCTCAAGGAAATCACTCTCCTCTCACTGCTGAGGAACCCTGAGAGATACCAGAGCACAACAACAATGTTCCCATTTCCCAGGGATGGGCTAAGCCCAGACCAGGAGCAGCTCAGCCACCACACTAACGCTTCAGCCACAGGATGTCTTGGACAAGAACAGCTAGGTCTCCAGCCCAAAGGAGGACAGTCAACTCCCTTTTCCTGAGCCTGTCTTGGTGTTGGATGGGAGTCTGGTCTGAGAGGACACAAGATTCTTCTACGGCAGTGCTCCACTGAAGGTGGCAATGGGTAAACACAGGAGAGAATGAAACTCAGAGGGGTCCTGGTGAGGCAAAGAGGACCTTCTCAGTGCAAAGAGATCGCTGTCCCTGGGTTTGTAGCACACAGAGATCTCACACCTGCAGGGGAACAAAAAGAAACCAAGACACATGTAAGGTGTGTGGCTGAGAATCACGGTCCTTAGATGCAGCAGAAATATCTGCAAGCAAACAGGAATCAGTGCAGTCTTTAACAGGACTGGCATCAGAGTGCTGAGAGTTCAGGTCTTTAAGCTGGCTCAGATTGGGACCTAGAGTTGACATCCATAAAGAGTAATTTCTGAAACTCATTAGTGAAAACGAGAACTTTTGCATCCCCCAAGTTTTGGGGAGAGGGAAGTAGCTCATTTTCCATTTCGTGCACTGAACTCTCCCACTAGCCCCTTGAGTTGCACAACAAACAAGTGAAACATTTCTCTTCAGGGCTATTTAAGAAATAAGATCCAAAATATTTTTCCATTGCAGGCAGCATAACCTTGCAGAGTTCTGCTCTCTCTGAGGCAGAAATTAAAATGCTTGCACATTTTTAAGACCCATGGATCAACTGGTTTGATCTCTCTGAAAACTCAACTGTTGTTGTAGACAACAAATTCCATCACCTGGAGAGCCAGTTTGGTGCCCTGGAGACACGATTGATGGATGAACAGTCGAATGAACAATTGTTACTCTACCCCAGTCTCTCCCATGAAGACCATGGGTTCCTTCTGCAATGGGTATGCCAAAGGTGGTAGAGAACCCAAATGAGGTTTAGAAGTTGAAAGCTCTGCTCATATGCCCAGTGCTCTTCAAATACTTCATCCTCTGGACTTACTGGAAGAGCTGTCTTTACAGAGTTTACAGTTGACTGGGGACCACCTGTGGCAGTCATGAAGGTAAACTACTGCTGGGATCTGAGCAGGACCATCCATCCCACCTGAGCTCAGCTGTGCTACAGAGCTTGGAGCTATGTCACCCAGCTTGGGCATCTGGCATAGATCCACAATGGTGCTTAGGAACTTGTCCCCCCGTTGGCAACCCATGCTTCATGAACACACAGGATGCACCATCCCAGGAGCGCTGACTGCAGCGGGCAACCTGCAGCTGCAATGTTGCAGTTCCTACCTCGTTACACTCTGCAGGATCTTCTGCTCATCCTGGTCCAGGCACACAGCGAAGGACGACTGGAGACCGATAATCTGGACTTTGTCTACTTTTATCTGGGACACGCTGATCTGCTAATGGAAAAAGAGTCTGAGTGAGGGAGCTGCCAGGCTCAGTGCATTTTCCCTGTGCAGAGAAGGGGAGCAGGGGAGCTGGGCACCCCTAAGGCAGGCTTGGTGGCCAACAGCAAACGTATCCCCAAGGAGCTACTGTCTCCTGCCCTGCTTCCCTCCCAGCTGAGTCAGGGTGACATCCTGTTACCAAATGTAAAAGCACCATGATTTGAGTTACCTGATTGAAACTTTTTTTGGATTTGGAGTTTTGCCTTTTGACCACCTCCGTCATGGTCAAGTTGAGATACTCTGTCTTTGAGGCTGTAACAAAAGAAACCTGTAATCACTTGGGGCTTCTGGGCCACTGCTGGGAACCCAAGTCATCCCTTCACCCCTCAAAGCATCCCAGAGACTCAGTTCTCAGTAGGACCCCACTGTCAAGTGAAATACAATACAGTTCTAGCTTTCCTTCCCCAACGCTGGCCTACACAGAAAGCAAGCAGAGAGACAGAGGTAAACTTCAGAGTAATTTCCAACTGCTTTCCAAACATAGCAGCAAAGGACATTTAACTGTCTTAGGGCCTAAACAGGAGAAAACCCATTGCCCCATCCTCACGAGGACGTTCTAGCTCTGCCAGTGTGCCCCTTCCCACAGTCCACCTGGAGATGCTTTTTCGTGTCTGGAATTACAGTGACATCCTGTGGTCAAACTGCTGAATGTGAAAACTAACAGAGACAATCAAGGGGACTGGGTTTGTCTTGGAAGGAAGAGATTTATGAAGGAGACGCTTCTCCCCAGTGTGAACTGAGGACACCCCCTGAAGCAAACCCACAGTGTTGGCAGCACAAGCGAAGCTCCTGAACTAGCGCAGAAACACCCAACTCAGAATGTAAAGAGAAGGTGAGAAATTAATTCCTGTCGGGGTTTATCCAGGGTTGTCTGCACAGCTTCATGCATGGGGTAGCAACAGGAAGGACAGGAGGGACACAGGTTTAGCTTGAGCTCCATGGGGCATGTAGGAGCTGTCTCCTATTTGGCAGATCACCCGTTTGCCCCAACTACTCCGCTCACAAACCACGCATCTGCCAGACACAAAGCACACCAGGAAAGAGGAACTAAAACAACCCTCAGTGTACTCAGAACTGGGTGTCTGATTGCCAAAACAGCAGTTCTTAAGCAAGAATGAACAGGTATTGCTTCTAAATATGCACACAGACTAAAAGTCTGGCTGCTTTTAAAAGGCTTGAAGCCTTATTAATACCCCATCAGAAACCTGATTAGAGAAAAAGTTATGAAGCAAAACCATGTGGCAGCCAGCTATCTCTGAGCTGCAGGAAGGAAACCAGGCTGAAGCATCAGCTTAGCAAGAGCCTGCTGAAAGCTGCTGTGGCCGGCAGGACAAGCACCCTCTCCCTTGGTCCTACTTCATTTAACAACAGTTTTACCTGTCTCTCCTTCTCCTTACTAAACAAGTATTGTTCTGGAAAGCACCACTCTCCAGTGACCATCCTGCTGTTTGGACTGTCCCAGCCGTGTTCCTAACGGACATCCCATTTTCCTGGCTGGAAGCTTTAAGACAATGGGAAATCAACTGCCCATCATCCCTGATGTGGTGCTAAGGACAGCCAAGGACTACAGCATGCCCCAGGGAACACCAGGCACCCTCCATGTATCTTCTCCTGCATTCACACATCCCTGCTTTGCTCCAGCTAGAAGATCCACGCTGTCCTCTTGCTCCACCAGTCCCTCCCATTGCTCCCTACGCAAAGCCACAAAGACCACCTCTACCCACCTAGTTCTTCATGCTTCTTGCAGGCTTTGCTAAGGTTGACAGATGTGCAGACCTTCTCAACATCATTCCAGTGACTTCTTCCACTGACGGCTGTCTGCAGAGACCAAACAAAGCCCATGAGATGCCATGCTCCAGGCTGATGTTACCCTGCCTCCCACCCCTAACTGGCTGGCTGGACTAGCTCAGATCTGGATTTACCTGGAGCTGCACAAACTTTGAGTAGGCATTAAAATTCATTTAAGCTTGGATTTACAAAAATTGCCCAGGCTTAATACTAAATTAACTGCAGAGGGACCAACAAAATAGGAGGACTGCTGTGACCAGCAGAAGATGGCTCCCTGGAAGCAAAGTCCACCAGTGTAAAGTGGCACCCAATGCACGACCAGTCCATGCAAACTGGCTGCGCATTCCCTATTGTACTGGGCTGAACAGGAGTGGAAAGCCGGACCCAATTAGCCAGTAAGCAGACAATTAGCTTGAGTTTGGCTCATCTGGGCTTGAATTCAGGCTCCTCCAGCACACTGTCAGCGTTTGCCTCTCTCAGCCCCCAGCGGAGAGACATGTTTGCCCAGCACTGAAGTGGTTTTCTGCCCCGTTTGTCTTTGTGCAAGTCCCGTGCACTCACCTTGCTGTAGGCGATCTGTAGTGTTAGTGGGATTGCTTCTCTGTCTCCATCTATGCCCAGCCTTTTGCTGCCTGGACCTGCACAAAACAAGGAGCAAATGTCACACGGTGGCCTTTTATCCCCATTCTTCGGCAGGCTACTGATACAGCAGCACACTCAGTACCTACAGAAAGGGGGAAAAAAAATGGTTTGCTGAACAAAGCTGTGGAGCAAAAAGGCAAAAAGAAAAGGTGGCTTAAAAGCTGCCAGAAAGCAATTAATCCGGTGCAGAAATTTCAACACAAAGCACAACAAGCAGCTCTGCAAAACTGAAAGCAGTGCTGGCTAAGCCGGTGCAGAGGGGTCAGTGCTCCAGGGAAAACACAAAGCAATAAAAGGCCACATTGCTAAGCCAGCTCCTGTTTTTCTGGGCATATTTGTGCCCACATTAAATTAGCCTTGAAATACTGTGCCCGACACTAACTTTTTTTTTTCCTGGATAATTTTTTGCAGATGTTAAGTGGTGTGCTGCCAGAGAACCCAAGGGAAAAAAAAAAAAAAAATCAAAGTCAGAAAGGATCGGTGGTTTCATAAGTTATTGGGAAGAGGTCTTGGCCAAGCTGTATTTTGGGGGAGTGGGGTGGTGACACTTCTTGTGGAGGATATTTTATGAGCTTTGTTTAGAAGGACAAGGCGAGATCACAGAAAAGCAATTGGTTAAAAAAATTAAGCAACATGTTTAAATGCAGTATTGTTGGTTGGCCATAAGATGTCTCTGCGAGCTGCACCGCACCAGACAGCATGTTGTCCTTGGCACCCAGGAGAGCTGGAGACCACGCTGCAGGCAGATGCTTCTGGCATTGCTTCTTGTCTCTACTAATTTTATGAATTCCTAGTGCAAAAGCTCACGGATCTCCTTTGCAGGAAGGCCACAAGCACATGCATGAACCTTGATTTGCTCAGTAAACAAAGGAAAATGGAAAGAGGGTTTCAATAAATGACACTCCTGGACGAAGCACAAACAACAGAAAGCAGCAAAAAAGAAAATACGAGTTGCACTTGGCCAGGTGCTGATGAGAGGAAGGAAATGGGCTTGAAGCGGTGTTATTGCAAATACACAGCAGCAAAAACAACAAGGCATTGTCACAGCTTTACTCCTTAAGAAGACTGCAAGAACTACGATGCTTCACTTCCGAATTTGTGAAAAGATGTCTGGATCTTTGCTCACGATGCAGCCTGAGCTCAGACACCTCTCACAGCTCCCGCTCCCTCCAGCCCCTCCTTCCTTCTATCTCCCAGCCCAGCAGGTTGCAGCCCTCCACCCTGAGGCTGCGGGTGCAGAAGTAGCTACAGACCTGACGCCTTGATGGCCCGCGTGGCCGCCGAGTGTCCTAGCTCAAGGGAATGGATGAAGACTTCGGTCATCTTTTCTCCCCCGATGAAGGTGAGCTGTCAGAGGGAGAAGAGGGAAGACGTGGTGGTGAGGAGACCCAGCCCGTGCCAGGCAACCTTCACCCCTCTCACTCCTTTCTGCAGGGAACAGGTCAGCTGGGGAAAATCCTTTCACATTTTGAAAATACACCTTTCAACCACAGCCTGGGGTGACACTTGCCTTCAGCTGTACTTCTGAGTGTTTTAACAAATCACCAGCAAGTAAAAAAGCCCCAAACCCTACTTTTCACTTAAAGAAAACTCCCCAACTCACTGAAAAGAAAACCCACGATGAGCCTAGCAGCAGGGTCCAGGCATCACTTTGAGTAAGACAAATCCCATGAACAGCAGCAACTCTGCTGGCCACAGAGCCAGTCCCATGTCATGGCACCAAAGCAGTCGTTGCAGCCATGCATTCAACCTTCCTACCACATCTGCCCCGTGCACGCAGTGGGACATGGAAAATCGGCTTTGTGGAGGGGCCTGGTTTGGAAAGCAGAGCACTAGAGGGACTTTCAGCGATGTGAATAACCTGTCAGCACTGACAGGAGTCGCTTTGTTTCATGGGGAGAGGTATTTGATGGAGAACGGCTCATGTAACTTAAGGATTGTCTGGGCAGGACCTGCGTGCTCTCAATGCATGAACCAGGAGCATCAGTCAAAGCACCGTGGGCGCCCAGGGAGGAGACTGAGCTCTGCCCCACCAGCACGTGGTGGTTGTGCCATACCCCTATGCACTTCACAAGCAGGTCCCGAGTTGGTGACACAGGCAGAAGACCCCCCTTTCCCCATCGCCAACACGGGGCTGAGCCCCTTTGCCTACCTCCGTCTGGTAGAGCTGCAGCAGGACAGGGCGCGTGGCAAAGCGGCAGTAGTAGAGGATCATGTCGGCCAGGATGGGCAGCTGCTCCTGGGAGTCCTCCTGTGGCTCAGCGTCTGGCTTGGCAGACTGCGGTGAGAGAATAAGTCACAAGCCTGATGGGGTACATGGTACCCACAGCCCGGTGCCAAGAACTGCCCGTCCCACCCTGCGAGGGACAGAAACCCTCCTCCTGACCACCCATCTCCATCCCGTGTCCATGTAGCACAGCCTGCTGTACAGGATCATGGTGGCCCAGTGCTAAGCAGAAGCTCTCTGCTCAGCTACCCTGTACCTCGGGAGGGAGGGACGCCAAGCCCTACCAGCTGGCATGAACATACCTGACACAGGACGTCCATGGGCAGGTTCATCAGCCCAAGAACATTGCGCTCGTACCATGGGTCCAACATGCCAATGTAGTGGGAGATGTCATTGGTGCTGCTCTCCATCCCAGCCAAGGTGGGATCCTGAAACCAGACACACACAGGTCACACCAGGGCCCCCCTGCAGGCTCCTCACCCCACGCTTGGGGCTGGCGGAAGAGACACCAATGCTCCCATCAGCCTGCCCTTCCAGCCTCCTCGCACACTGCTCTCGGGGCCAAGCAGAGCCTCGATGGCACCATGAGCCCCACGGCACCGTGAGCCCCACAGCGAGCAGGACACCTACCACCTGTGCCGAGCCCCGGAGCTGCGGGTCCCCCAGGGAGGGGAAGGTATGCATCAGGGGGGTCGATGGAGCCAAGCAGCTCCTCTTCACGGGGACGTAGAAAAACTGCAGCTTGAAGTACCTTGTCAGTGAGGGGCAGGTGCTCTCCTTGAGCCTGGGAGAAGGTAGAAGAGGGCTGGGTGAGCCAAGCCCTCCGGCATATCCCAGCAGGGGCAGGTACCTGCAGCCGGGTCCCCTGCACCGCCCGGCTCACCTGAGGTTGCTGTAGGCTCGGGCCACTTTCCCTGAGATGCGGTCAGAGCCAAAGACCACGACACGCAGTGTGGACACCTTGGCGTCCTCGTCGTAGCTGAGGAAGGGCCGTCGGCGGAGGCTGAAGTGCCGCGGGGCGAGTGGG